ATTTACAAATAAGGAATCCTACTTCGCGGAATTTCATTTATCACGGTAGGGTCTAGAACCGATTAACCGCGATAAACGAGGGCTCACTGTATGATGAAAGAGCAAAGGCAAGAGCTGAGGCATCTGATCCAACCTTTATTTCGAGCTTTAATTGTACCTACCTGAGGTTAAGTACCTTTTCACAATGATTTCATTCTGTTGCTGATCTCGTCCACCTATAATTAGATAGTTCTCAGAACTAATGAACCACAGAAATTTCTCAAACCTACCAAATTAAAAAGAAACAAAAAGTCAACATTTCTTTTCCTTTACATTTCCTGGATTTCACAAACTTTCCAAAACAAAAACTAAAAGTAAGGAATCCACTGTGCGGTGTTAAGGTACTTGATGAGGTACTAAAAACCTGTGACAACTGTCATAGAAAATTCTAGACTGTGTTAAAAAGAAAATTTTAAATTATAGATTATATTTTCCCTTTATTCCATAGGTAGGTAGTCTGGTAGTCTTTTAAATTCAAGGATAGTTAATCATTCTCATTGTTTACATACATAATATTTACATTTAAAATATACGTATAAATTGCCTTCAGAAGGATAAAATCATAATTTTTTAAAAAGGCAATCAAAGATAAAGTACTTGAATGTTCATGATTAATGTACAAGGGGGCTTCAAAAATTGTGGAATTGAAAGATAATGAAATTTTCGCATGACTTTGAAATCCAGCCCCATACTTATCACAAAAAAACATGTACCAAATATGTATTTCCAATACCATATATACTCGTGTATGAGCTGAGTTTTTCAGCACATTTAAAAAAATTTTATTGGGGGCTTGTACAACTCTTATCACAATCCATACATCCATCCATTGTGTCAAGCACATTTGTACATTTGTTGCCATCATCATTCTGAAAACATTTTTAAAATAACACAATATATGAGAAGGCTTCTAAAAAGTCATGGAAAAATTTTTCATTATCTTTAATTTCATTTCTCACTGAACTTTTGAAAGCCTCTTATAGAAGAATATAAATATATGCTATATTAAATTTCACCCAAGAGATTATCTTTATGATTTTATCTGCATATTAAAGCTTCTGGTTAAATATACTTTAAGAATACATTAAGTACTGGCATAAAATAATCTCTCTCAAATCTCCACTTACACACACACACACACACACACACACACACACACAGCAAAAGAATTTTCTTACTATGTTCTAATTTGATTTTTTGATTGGGTAATACATGCCTAAATTCCAAAGGTTTAAAGTATATATAAAAAGCTTAGTGAAAAGTTTCCCCTCATTTCCTGTCCCATACACATCCTTTAGTCACTATCAAACTGGGAGTTACTGTTATTAGCTTCTAGCATACTTTCCTTATTTTCTTTATGGCTATAAAGGAGAAAATGTTTCTTCTAATCCTCTCTTCATTTTCAGACACAAACACACTGTTCTGTATGTAACACCTTTATTCATCATTTAAATATAAACTCATTATTGATTTGCAGCATTATAATTTCTTTCACCATCCCTTCTTTATAGTGAAGAAGTTTATAGAAAGACAAAGACCAAGAGAATGGGAAACAGGAATCAAAGATTTGTTATAATCATCTTAGTGCAGGAATGTGCAATTAATAAGTCAATAAAAAATAATAAAGAGGAGGCAAAAAGGAAGATAAAAAGAGACAAAAAACAAGTGAGAAAAATAGAGAGTAAACAGTAAAGAGTTGATTTCAATCCAAATACAGCAGACATTACATTAAATGATAAATGTACTTATTTACTACATGTTTCAGTAAAAGGCAGAGTGTCAGACTAGAGAATAATAATGCACCATGTTGCTTTAAAACATAAGGATATAGAAAATTTAAACTCTAACGACGACCAAAAGATTTATCATGCAAACATTAACCATAAGGAAGCTGATTTAGGTCTCTGCAGAGATCCAAAGCCCATCTGTAGATCATGGAACAATCCCCCCACAGAGTGCAGGCAAGCATCAATGAAACACACAGTATTCCTCTAGTTTCTTGAGGCTTTCGCACCCCCCACTATCATGACCCCAGTACTGCTTCTCAATTCAGACTAGACTGGAGCATGTACACAGGTATAAAAGAGAGATGGGGGCTCACGACACACAGAATCCAGGAACAGGAGTGGGAATAGCAATACCAGAAGGGGTGGGGGGAAGAGGAAGGGAGAAAGGGGGAACCAATCACAATGATTGACACATAACCATACACCCCTCTCCAGGAGGAAGGACAACAGAAAACATGGGGAAAGGGAAAGAGCAGTTGCTGTAAGATATGAAAGTAATAATTTATAATCTACCAAGGGGGTATGGGGGGGGATTGAGCAAAAAAAATGAGCTGATACCAAGGGCTCAATAGAAAGTAAATGTCTAGAAATGAATGAAGGTAACATATGTACAAACATGCCTGATTCAATTGATGTATGGATTGTTACAAGAGTTGTAACAGTCCCCAATAAAATGATCTTTTAACTTAGAAAAAAGAAAGGAAGCTGATTTAGTTACAGTATCTGACAAAGTAGACATTATGGCAAAAACTGTTATGAGTCATTGAAAAAGTTGATGAAAGACTCCATTCACCAGAATTGAAACAACTATTCTTTTTATACCACATATCTAGCATGTATTACCCAATCAAATTAGAACATAGTAAGAAAATTATCTTGCTCTGCGTGTGTGTGTGTGTGTGTGTGTGTGTGTGTAGATTTGAGAGGGGAGGCAAGGCATGCTGTGTCAGACCACAAAGGCAGCAGCAGGAAGAAGCCCCTGCAGCCACTCAAGTCGCAGACCAGAGGGTGGACAAGGAAGATAAAGCCTTCAAGCAGAAATGAAAAAAGAAGAAACCGAGAAAGCGGAAGATGGCAGACCAGGGGACCGTCATACTTTTAGAGCTCTTTCCAACAAGGCGGGTTTGGTGTCCAAGTAGCCGAGTGGTAGGAGTCTGGTGACTGAGATATTCCCCCCGGTCAGCACCCCACCCCCACCCCACACATTTGTCCTGAGCCGGGGCCTCAGTGATCCAGGACCCAATTCGTGGGACAGCGTGGGTCACTAAGCCCCGGCCATCGCGACCTAGACTAGCTCTAGCCCCACTGCATCCCCAGACCGGGACCCCACGCCCAGAGTCGCTTTCCTGCTCTGCTGAGACACGCACAGTGGCGGCAGGAGCCCCGACAGCAGCCGCCCACTCGCGGAACCCCACTAGGAGAGTAGCTTCTCCTTCCCGCGGGTCCTCTCTCCCCACGTGGCAGCGATCTGCCACTGGGCCCGCATCCCTCCCTCCATCCATCCAAGTCCCGGGTGACTGACCTGCAATATACCAGGGGATGCCTGGGCGACCCTCCGGGGACCATCCACCCCCACTGCTGCCTGGGACCTGTCCACCGGCACCGGCCGCCCGCCCCCGTAGTCTAGCTCCCACGCCATTCCCGGCCCAGGAAGGGGAGTTGGGCACTTCCCGACGGCGCTAAGCCCGCCTGCCGCGGGACCGTGGGCGCTCTTGCCCACTGGGAGTGCAAGCGACAGCCAGAGCAGCTTTGCCCTCCCAGGTGCGCAGGGCGGTTTTGCGGGCCCAGCGGTTCCGAGCTCTGAGCGCGCTCCCCTCAGGGCAGAGGGCAGTCGCCCTTGCAGGCTGCTTCCTGCCAGAGCCGCTGCTGCTGGCCCGCTCGAACCGCGTCGCTGAGGAACCTGTGCCGCTCACAGGGCTGGCGGCTCTAGCGACAACCGCCCTCCGGCTAGGGAGCCTATGAAGCGGCTTTTCGGCCCCCGCAGAGCTGTCTGTGTGCTCCGCTGGCGCCTGTCGCTCCAGTGCCCTGCAGGATCCCCAGCGCCAGCTCCAAGCCCGCCCCAGCACTCTCCAGCCGGTACAGGCGGTGGGCATTGCAGCCTGTGCCTCTCAACACCCCTTGCGGCCCCAGTCTTTCCCAGGCGGTGCAGGAGGCTCGCCCTGATTAGCCGCTGCCCACAGGCTCCCCCTGCGTGGCCCCTGCCCGCACACTCCACTCTATAGGCCTGCAGGGGCCTCGGAGGGCTTGCTGATCTGAAGAGCAATGTCCCCTCACAGATCAGCACCACGTCCCGTGGCAGCGAGCCCTCGGCCACCTCCACCTTCTATTAGGCATCGCTAGAACTTGGAGGGAAAAAGGTGGGAAATCTAAATATATATATATATCTATATATTATCTCTTGCTGGTTTCCTCTTTTTCCTTCTTTCTCCTCCTTTTTCACTATTGCTATTACTTCTCTTCTGCCCCTTTCCTATAGGTTTTCCTATCTTTTTTTCCCCCACTTTCACTATTACCACTTTTCTCTCCTCTTTTACAGCTTCTCCTTCCTTTTCTTTCTCCATTCTTTTTCTTTTTCGTCCCCCAAATTTTTAAAATTAATTTTTAATTTTTAACTTTTTTTTTTTAATTACTGAACAGAAAAAAAGGGCTGCTAAGAGTACCCTGCCAGACCAGGTCAAAGAAGCCAAGAGCCCCCCCCCCAACTCCAGTAGCTGAAACATCTCTCCACTGCTGGTCACTAAGCCTACGGGAACTCTGCCTGCACAGCAGTCTGACACATCCTTAGAGTATGTCAAAGGCAACCGCCTGAGAGAATCCTTACAGTAACACAGATAAGGGCCCCCTAGCCTCCCAGAAACATGGGGCCTATGAAAAGATCGAGGAAAAATCAACAAACCACATCACTCCCAACAACAACAAAAAAACAACAGAAAAAACATAGTAGCAGAGCTAAAGTCTCTCATAGAAGAAACAGACACAGATCTGCCACAGAAGGCAATCTTCAGAAGTCTGCTCCCAGTAATACAGGAGGAGCTGAGGGAAGCAACCCAGAACAAGGATGCAATAATAGAGATGAAGTCCACAATAGAGGGGACGAAGTCCACCCATCAAAGGGAACTGCAGGAGCTAACAGAGGAGGTAGCAGAAGCCACACACAAGGTCACAGAATTTACGATTAGGCTTGAGGACGCAGAGAACCGTATCAGCAAACTCGAGGGCACTCAAAGAGACCTAAGCAAGTGAGAAAGACAGTCAGATAGGAAAATTAAAGAAATAGAAGATAGCTTGAGATCAATGACAGATGCTATGAAAAGGAATAATATTCTGATTATCGGTCTACCTGAACTCAAAACAACACACAAGTCGACAGCCAAGATAGCAAAGGAATTTCTGGAAGAAAACTTTCCCACCCTAACAAGGGAGAACCAGGCACTCATACAGGAAGCAGAAAAGACACCAGCTAGACTAGACCCCAGAAGA